ATGTAATATAGAATTTCTCATACGAGTCATTCTATATTAACTGGTAAGCTTAAAACATATGTTTCTTATCAAGTTTAAGATGTAGAAGTCGGTCTCTCACAAAGAGCCATAAAAAGTCAAGATGAACCAGATAAGGCCAGATAAAAGATTATGTTCTGAAGTTAATGGGCAATAATTCATCAATGAAGATAGTCCCAGAAAGTTCCCACCGTCAGAGTGGCGAGATACTTTTAGCGAATCAAAACCTCTAAATTTTATAAATTGAATGACGTTTCATTCAGATAAGAAGATACTTGCAACCACGCCCTCTCAGAATCTCACTTTAAAAACTCTGGACAGGCAAAATTGCGTGTCTTTTCTATATTTTCAATGGCTAGATAAAGCTGGGCCTCATCCAAACAATCCTTGCAAAGGGGGAAACCTGATGTAAATATCCCACTCATAATGTTTGCAATACTCCATCTAACGAAATAAAATGCCTTTTTAACAAAAGACGCCTAAGTATCTTCAATTATCTAGCCTTTAAAGACATAACATGACATATATATAATCGATTAAATAATAAACAATATTTTAGCGTATTGTTGAAATTAATTATAATTTCTGTTGTTAGATTTATTTTATCATTAATGAAAAATAGAAAGGTATGATTAATTAAAGAGAAGTAACAACTAAAAGACGCAATTTTTAAATTTGAGTTAGTTAAAACTGAAATCCAGAACTATTCAAAACATACATAATTTTTTTGATTTACATAAGGGCAGATGTAAGTGCACCCTCTTGGTTCCCTTAAGAGTTATGAGCATCTCTGAAAGAAAACAACTATATACAATGATTTGAAAGCAAAAAAAAAAAAAATTATAGATATTATATAGATTTATTCTCTTTTATAATATTACATTAAAGTGAAGGAAAAATACAACGAAATATAGTATTTTAGTTAAATAATAGTATTACTTTTAAGTAATGAAATGTTTCGAAATAAGTGATTTGGAGGAAAAATACATAAAAATTTGAAAATACTTAAACAATTTCATATATTTGTCATAAATATATACTAAATATCGTTAAAAAATTAAAAAAAAATTTTTTAAAGGAAATAAGGACTTATTTTTCATTTAGTTTGAAAAGGAATGACGAACAGTTTCATTCATTTTTTAAAATGTTGTTTATTATAAGCTGCATCTTATGGCCATCAATGAGTAAAGCATGAGAAAAGAACTAGCACATTGTCAATTAATTGAAGATTTATTACAATTAAAACACACACAGACATATACGTCTGGTATATGTTATGATATGGTCGGTATATATATATGCATACATGCCAACTTGTACTGTCGTTGAAAAAGATTTTACAAAGTGGCAGTAAAAAAACAATAAAGTTTGGAAGAATTTTCTAAAAAAAAAACTACTAAGACATCTATAAGCACAATTAGTCTACAAATAGATCTTTGTTAAATCTTTTTTAAAAAATTATTAATTCGTCGTGGTAGTTTAAATTTTTTTTTTGAAACTTCAAGATTTAATATACCATAAGACTAATGATGCAACCATTAAGAAAATTATGTCTCAACTGCCGTACAAGTGGACAGATAAGTATGTGTATACACACCATTCCTAGAGACTAAAGTTTGATCACTGAAGTTATAAGTTTAGGTGAGTGTATAATATTTCAAATTACCGATGAGCAGCTTTTCTCCTCTGAGTTAATTGTTTACTTTTAAACATGATAAAGATTTCTCATTTCCTCATCTTAACCATGTGCTTAGAAGTATCACATAATAGTCTCATATTAACTACTAATAACACACCTTTCTTTTTAAACTAATTTTTCTCGATGTTTCTTCCCATTTTCCTTTTTAAGAAAACCATCCCTAGCAGATAAATGTGTCAGGTTACTACAGACTTTTCCCTTTTCGTTTGTCAACCTCAATGAGGCTTAACAAATGACTTATTGATGTCTCTTTTTTTAACACCATGATTTCTACTTTCCACAATGGACAACTATTCAAAATTTCATTTTGTGACGTAGCTAAGTTGATTGTTAACTGATCGTAAAGCCAAAGCATAAAGAGTACTCAGAAAGCCCTCTTTTTGCTCCGAATCTAAACAAAAACCGGATCTGAGAAGTGCGAAGACGTTTTTTCCTTTCTCAAGTATACACAGAGTAGAGCTTGTGATGTAATAGAAACGGTTGAACCGCTTATAGTTTTTCTAGAGTAAGAACTCCCCTAGTCACTCGTCTGGACCCGTGGCGGTGACTATGGTAACGAGGTATAACTATTTCAAGTAGAGGTGTGGGGTCACTGTTTAGGACAGGTTTTGGCTCGGGTCAGCAAGAGGAAAGAAAAAATCTTTTCTTCAGTCAATTGAGTGAAGAGAAGTTACCCTCCCTGAAATGTGCTATTCTGATTTCCACAGCAGCAGACGCGCCTTGGACTTTGTGGAGTTCTTAACGTAAACAAATTATACCTTACTTCGGAGATTTTCTATTTGAATGTCTATAGAATTTATTTTGAACCGTGGCTATCAACAGAAAAACTACATTAAAATAAAAATATTGGAGATATGTGCATGAATCAAAGATTTAAAAAAAAAACAACAATATTTTACCTTTTTTAATTTAAATGGAATGCTAAAATGAACAGAGATAAGAAAGAAAATTCAAAAAAATAAATTTTTATTTATTTCAACAGTCCCAATAATTTTACAGTAACACAGAAATACACTATTTTCTTCAAAAAAATAAGTGATTAACAGTAATAAACCTATTGATAAACATTTACAGTAATTAATATAAGCCACACATTTAATACAAAATTGTAAACCAATTTCGCATGTACTTGTGAGTTTTTAAAATTATAATTCATAATATGAGAGAATACATTGTTCTGCAGTAATATTGCTTACATTCATACTTCAATAAATATAACTGAATAAAAATAAATGTGCACTTATGCTCATTTCATTTGACAAATACTAATTTTTCAATGAATAACAAAAACAATGCATAAAATTAATATTATGGAACTTGTATAAATATAAGTAAGACATAATATAGAACACTATGCTGATATGAACTAAACATTTTTAACCTTTCAATTCTTCCCAATTTATAGCTCAGTTTGTTTCAGCTTTTTGTTGTCCCTCTCAGAAAAGAATTTTCATTCTGAAATTTGTAAACATGTACGTTTAAACTTTCATGCTTATGATAGCTCACACGCTTGATATTTTACATCTTTGTTACCAATGCAAAAAAGATATGAGGATTTTCTTTGTCGCAGTATAAGAGAAATATAGATATAGTGTTGACAAACATTGAAATTTACACTTTTATATGTATAAAATTGTACTGTATATGAATCTAACGAAGTGTTTATGAATGAAAGGTTTGGCAGGATGTTGTAAATAACTTGATTTTAAAAAGATCAGCAGCGTATATATATATGATTTGATTAATTGAAATTACATACATTTGCTGACTTGTGTGCTCAATATAGGCTTATAAGTCATTGTCAAGTAGAAAATACAGATAGAACAATTCAGAGAAAGACATCACAAAGAATACATTCAGTGTTACGGCGGGATTCGAACCCGCTACCTCCACGCTTAACAGAGCGTTTGGACCAACGATACCGCTCGGCCCCTATATATATATATATGGTGCCAGCTCCTGTACACAAGGCTGTAATCTAATCTCAGTCCTCAGACCCGTAAGCTAGAAGTACCGCCAGTCAATGTAAGCTGATCCCTGTGCACGGCGAGGAAGCAGTGGGGATTTCCCGGAGAGAGAGCGTGATGGACAACGAACCGAAAAAGACGTGATGATATGCACTCCAAAGAGGAGTTATACAAAACTTTCAGACGAACTCTCATTTATTATTTTTTTGTTTGTTATTTAATCGTTAATTGTTAATCGTCCGTCCTTATGTAAATTTAATCTTCAATATATATGTTNATATATATATATACTGAAAGTATTTGTGATTCCAAACTTTGATTTAAATGTCACACAAGTAAAGTTTTCAAGTTTTTTATTTGGAACCTAATTAAAATAACAGTATATACTATACTGATTTTTTATTAGTTTTCAAGATCTAATATGGTGATAGCATAGCCTGCTGAAAACTCATTTTAAAAATGAAATAATTCTAGAAAATTGAAAAAAAAATTGTGACATTAAAATATTAAGTAACAGAATTTATTACTATCAAAAATTGAATACATTGTTTGAACAGAATCAATCATGATATTGGTGTTTTTTAAGATAAAAATTGATTTAGAAAAAAAAAATTGGTTATGAACTAAAGCAATTCTTTCAGCTGAATAAAATGATACAATTTACAGCTTAATTTTTCTAAAGCATATAAAAATCTATGATTACAACTTTCAAGTTAAGGTATTAATTAATGCATTAAACAATTTTAATATATCATGTGCTCTTTATATAAGCATCATCAGTCGAAATAATAAAAAAATGCAAAAATTAAAATTAACAATATATGATTTTAAACAGAATAATGGTGTAGTGATATTTATTTAGAAAAGTAAAAATTTAATTTTATTTTTTAATAGATTAATTTTTTGGTATTTTAAACCTTTTCATGTTTCATTTTTTAAAATATTTATGAAAAAATTCAATTTTAATAAAATTTTATCAGATTTTTTTCATTCTTTGTACCTTTCGCCAATCTTCATTCTTCTTCTTTTCTGCCACATTTTCATCAGGATAAATATTACAATAGCACAGATAACAGCTATTACAAATGTTCTGAAATTTAGAAAAAAACAGTAACACTGCACCATTATTTAAAATAAAATAATAAATAAATCTTATAAAATTCAAAGAAAATTTTCAAATTATAGTACTCAACTTTAAAAGGGTTTTTAAACTTTCAACGTCATTGAAAATTTTGGGGGAAAAAAGGGTGTGTTCCTCGAAAAATAAATTTAAACAAAAGAATTTAAAAAAAAAAAAAATTTGATTTTAAGGAGCACTTTAGAAGTANTAAAAATTCAAAGAAAATTTTCAAATTATAGTACTCAACTTTAAAAGGGTTTTTAAACTTTCAACGTCATTGAAAATTTTGGGGGAAAAAAGGGTGTGTTCCTCGAAAAATAAATTTAAACAAAAGAATTTAAGAATTAAACAAAAGAATTTAAACAAAAGATTGATTTTAAGGAGCACTTTAGAAGTAAAAAAATAAGCATGAAATTTTTTGAACAACACAGAATTAAATAAATCAAAATTTTAAAAATAAAACTTTATTATGTATAACTTATGAGATGTAAAAAATATTTTAAGCGGTACAAATAAAAAGTATAGTAATAGAAGCAAGGTTGATAATACATAATATAAGTTAAGATTTTTTTAATCAGAAACATTAAAACCAAGACTACGCAATAGTATGAAAGCATACTCTTTAACCTCACCAGTTCAACTTTTATTTAATCAATAGTTTAGAAAGTACAGAACAAAAATACATTGACAAAGTACATTCTGATAAATTATTTTTGATTCAATAAAAAAAAATTACTAATGCTATCAGTTTTAATAATTATACCTGGCATTATATAATGTTTTAAGACTACAATTTAAACTATGGTGCAGGTTTTAGTTTTTTTTTGTTGTAAATCTACCATTTTAGGTGGTTTTTTCTTTAATAATAATATCATATGACTTAAATATATTTTGCCTTAATGAAAGTGATACATACAAGTATATTTTATTTATAATGCTAAAAATATATTAAACGTAATTAAAAACATTTCAAAACGATCTCAGAGATCAACGTTGACTAGAAACAATTTGGTATAAAAGTTTGGAGAAACTATTTATAAGAAATGTAAACATTAAAAAATGAATTATTTAAATAAGTATAAAATAAAATGAAGTACTATATGATATTCATTTAGCAAAAATAATATTAACAAAGATAATTCCTATTAAAAATTTCAATTTTATTTAAACTAAGATTGGATTAAAATAGAAATTAGTATAAATAAATAAAAAATCTATAATTTAAAAAGCTAACTACAATTTAAGGATAACAGCTTTAAATACAAATTTATAATTTATTTTGAAAAAAGACACCTTTTTTTGTTAATTATTTTAACTTAAATTAGAAAATAGAATGAAGAAAAGAGAAAATATAAAGTAAAAAAAAAAAAAAAAAAANAAAAAAAAAAAAAAAAAAAAAAAAAAAAAAAAAAAAAAAAAAAAAAAAAAAAAAAAAAAAAAACAATTAAAGCCATAATATGAAAAATGTGTCATTTTTTACATCATCCCAAGAAATTATAGAAACATCATAAGGCATAAGTAGATTATGTCGCAATTAAAATTTGAATGATAGGAAGAGAGAATTTTCTTATTGACATAAACTATTTTCTTATTGACATAAGACAATAGTTTGCAGTGATGCAGAATATAAGCATAAGGAAACTTATTCTAAAAAGATGGTAAAAAAAAAGATATAAATATACATTAAATAGCAAAAACACATAAAGGCATCATAATATATCGGAGAAAATCCATACATCTATTAGATAAATTATTACATAGATTTCTGACTAGTTTCAGTTTAAATTAAACATTTAATTGATTATTTATTAAATATGCACATGTCAAACATTGCATACATCAATGCAATGCTGGCTTAATTAGATATCACAGTTATTTAGATAAACACAAACAGAAGTGAATTAAAAAAACATATTTACTACATGTAAATTAGTTTTAATCTGTATTGTTAATTAAGTCGATAAAGGTTAAATAAATAGTTGAAAATATCTAAACAAGAAAACAATTGAATGTTTAAAAAACTAAACGGATAATACAGAGGAAAAAAAAAAGAAAAGAACCATAAAAGAAGAATCATAAGAAACAATAAATATTAATATTTCATTTGATAAATTAAGATAAACATGCAACAATAGTATAAATTAAGTAAAAAATGGGCAACAGAAACTTGATTTAGGACACTATAAACAAAAATATTAATGAGAAATTGAGCAATTACAGCAAGTGTTACCAAAATGAGCACAAAATTGAAACAAACATAAACTAGCAAGTAAATTAATGATATAACGTCGGTAGTTAGCTAATGAAAAAAAACTAAAATTTTAAAATTACATAACATTTAACATTGTTCTGAAGAATAAACAGTATAGTAAGTAGATAGTATGTAAATATTTGATTTATTTGAGCATTAAATAAAAAAATTTCTACTTTCAACTTGTTTCTCCAAAAAGGCAAAAAAATTTTTAAAAAAATTGTTTACTTTATTTGAAAGGCTGAAATTTTTTTTAAAATAGTAATAAGATATAAATAAGATTTCATATGACAAAATACAAAATTTGAGCAAAATCTGATTAAGAAATGAAGATCTAAAAGTATTTCGTCCTCAAAATTTTATGATTAAAAATCGTTTTTTTTTTTAAATTTTCTAAAACTGAAAATCTAGTAATTAAAACAAAAGTTCATTGTGATACATACATAAATATATTTATTTCTTTTTGGCTCATTTCACCAGAAGTCAAAATTTAAAAGTCAACAAAGAGTCAAATTTAAAAGTCAACAAAGAGTCAAATTTAAAAGTCAACAAAGAGTAAATAAATTATTTCGAAACAGATAATTAAAATGTACAGTAAATAAACAGGTTTTTGAAGTGGAAATAGTCAGATTATAGCAAATAGTTCATGGAAGGACATAAAAGTGAAAAACTATATGTGAAACTACAGTAAAAGTTTTATTTAAAATCTATTTGAATATAAATAGTTTATTTGAATTTAACACTGAAGAATAAATAAATAAAATATATATATATTAATCAAATAAATAAACCATTTTGATCTCATATTTATTTGAGCATTATTGAAAATAAACATTCACTCCAGACAACCTACATTATGACAATCCTTATTGAGAGTTATAAAAAACATTTTCTTTAAACTTAAGACTTTACAGGTTAGCTCAATGTGTTCTTAGGCATTTTTTTTAAATAAAGAAATAGTGCTGAGGGGAACAGTAAGAGAAAATTAATTTTACTAGATATCAAGCTTGGTCAAAGGAAAAAAACAATTTTTATCACAAATTCATCTTAGAGTTGGCATAATTTAAATCCCTTGATAAAATCAAAAGTTAAATCACTTAATTTAAAAAAAAAAAATCATTGATTTAAATCAACTAATAATTTTAATAAAAAAAATCGGTTCATAATTTCAAAAAAATAAGTTTATTTAGGATCATTCATAAATAAATATGTCCCTAAAGCTGTGATTTTTTAAAAGTCTGATTTCATTGATATCGAAGGTCTTATCCAGAGAAATTATGAAGGAGTAATGCAAGTTAATTATAAGTTAATGGTCAAATCAAACTTAAAAGAGAGAGAGATTAAATGGGGATTTGAAATTTTTAAAACATAACCTTCCATTAATTATGCGTAAAATAACACACTATTTAATAAATACATTTCAACCAATCAGTTTCAAATTTATTTAAATGCCTTTAAAGCTTATTAGTTTGATTAGATAAATTACAAAGAAAAGCTTCCTCAACAAAAAGTAATTATTAATAAATGATTTCTTTTATTTAGGTTTCCTGGTCTAGATTTATTTATTCATTTGATATGTAACAGACAAATAGAGTCCCTTGTCTTTACAAATTATCACGAAAGTATAGTATGAAATTAATTTTTAAAAATTATATAATTAAATTATTTTAACCAGAATCGTTAAAAATATTCAGTACTTTAGTTACATAGTTTTCAAATTATATTAAGCATTATTAATATATTTTATCAGAACTTTGACTGAAGATTTAATCATGATTTATGGCAACCTTGACTTTTTAAGGAATTATTCTTTCATAATCACAAAAGTTATTTGAAAACAAAAAATTGATATTTTAACAGGCTAGGTACCAGTTAAAAATATCCAAGAATGATTCAAGACAAATTTTTCTGTTTTTTTTAAAATTTATTTTATTTTTTTCAGCATAAGAAAGGTCATCTTATTCATCAGACTTGAATCTGACAAATTCAAGGTAGGAACAAGAAAATTTAAACTAAATCTCATGGTATCCTTAACGAAAACTCTTGGGCAAGGAACGAAACAGAAAATCAATAGGTGTTTAGTGTAAAACAGTAGAAAATACTGTTACACATTTAAGGCATTGCACTGAGGCCAAAAAAAGTAATTTTGAAAATGTGTTCAAGTTTATATGAAAGCTTTTTCGGGACAAAATTTTTTGCAATTAAATTAACACGTTGCCAGAGTTATTTCGTTTACAATTATACGTTTATAATAATCATACTCTGTACGCATATTTCTGTTGATTTGGCAGGTCTTCATGCCCACATGCAAACAATAGGCAAAATAATAACTTAAGAGTACATATATAGTAAAGAATATAGTATACAATATCAAAATAGTCAAACAAAATATATTATTTAAGTAAAAGTTTCAATTAGATTATATTAGATTAATTTTTAAAAGTTTCAATTACATTAAATAATAGAGAAAGCGTTTGCTTGGTTTTCTATCAGGAAAAGGTAGGTAGTACACATATGTATTTTTGCAGGTGGTCTCTTTTATTTCATCACAGCCAATTAAACCTAGTTGTTTGTCGAAGCATATGTACATGGATGTGAGTATGGGATGTTCGTATTCCTAGAGTAAATAATACACTTTAAAAACACAAAAAATGAATGACAGGGAAAGAAATAAGAATAATGGAATCAACTTACTTGGTGATTCTTGCAGAATAATTTTATAGTAACATTCACGTTTGAATATATGGCATCTTGAATGGTCTGTAACTGAAATATACATAAATATATCATTTCAAAATTTAAAGAATGTAGAAACTGATAAAGATATAAATGACATAAATAGGTCTGTAGTCTAAATGAGAGTCAAATATATTCTTGCAGAAGCCAAAATTTAAAAAAAAGGACAATTAATCTGAATGAGTATAATATAATGAATAAAATACTGTTTAATATTGAAAACATTTGAAAAAGTCAAAGTATTATAGGAGTTTTTTTTTAAAGAGCAATAATTGAAAAAGCAATACATTTGAGTGGTCTTAACATATAAAAAATTGAAGGTATTATATGAGCTTTCTTTTAAATGAGACTTTAATAAAGAGCAATATATTTTCATGGTCTGTTGCAGTATAATAAAAGAATTGTAGTACCTCTGAACTAAAAAATTAATTTTTACTAAATAAATAAAATCATTATGAATAATTAACTCATCCTCTGCTCCAAAAAGACTGCTAAATCGAAAAATCAATTAAAGAAAAATGGAAGGAGATAGAAATGTAGAATTCATTCTGTTCCGTTTGGACCAGTATTTTATTTTCACCAGATTTTAAAATCAGTTACACTGTTTGGCAATAGATGGCATTGCATCCAATATTCTCCTAATAAACACTATTTATTTGAAAACATTGAATTGATAAAACAAAGTGATGCAGTTTGAAGTCTGATGTCTATTTTTATGAAGGAAAAACTATGTAAACATGTCATGCTATGTTAAAATTATATTAATTATCAAAACATCTTGCAATAAATAATGGAAAATTAGTTTTGAAAATGCAATTTTGAATAGTTAATTCAATTCATTACTAAAATAAATAAAATTGTTTAATAGTTAGATATTTTTCTTACATGAAAATTCTAAAATGCAATTTAAAAACTTAATTAATATGGTTTTAATTGATCATGTTGTAGCCGCAAACAATTTTTTAGAGCACTTAATTACTTGAGCATTTTAAATAATAAAAGTACTTTTAAAAATGTGCAAATAAATACTTAAAAAGTGTACTTTTTAATTGCTCAACTTCTTTTTATCATCATAAATTTATATTTCTTACCGAATAGGGCTGGTCCTTACTAGGCTCTATTCCAGCTCCCTTTATAAACCTAAAAGATAGTTATATTGATGAAGGAAGATTGCTTGGATTTTTTGTTGACCACAGAAAATGGTCAGTGCTTTGTAGCATATCTTTAGAGTGTATGTTCAAAATTAAAATTCAGTTGTGTTTTTTTTATTTTTAGAAAATAAATCATAAATTCACAAAGAAAAACATTATTTCTTTTATTAAGAATCTTAAAAGAAAATATTCTACGACACTCTCAAATGATGCTACTAAATATATGCATTTGTACAATGATTGGTCAAATCTACTTAAAACTCAACTTGTATAATATTTGGCCACTTGCTTAATAGTTGGTAAAATCATTTGCAGCATATGTTGCTAAAATAATAGTTTTAAAGTTGTAACCTTTATATAGCTTTTTTTCCCCCTTCTATTCTTTTGGTAAGGAATGTTATGTTATTTCATATTATTTATTATCCTTTTTAGTCCTTAAACAAAGTATAATGAACTGGTAAAAATGATTAATTGCTAAATGTTAAGTTTTAACATTAAAAAGAGATAAACATGACAAAACATACTGATAAATATCAAACTGATCATGAAGTTGATATTTGATATAAAAAATGTGATCATGAAAAAACTAATCAAGAAGTTGATATAAAAAATTTTGCTAAAATAATAGCCTTAAAGTTGTAACCTTTACATAGTTTTTTTTTTTCCTTCTATTCTTTTGGAAAGGAATGTTATGTTATTTCATATTATTTATTATCATTTTTAGTCCTTAAACAAAGTATAATGAACTGGTAAAAATGATTAATTGCTAAATGTTAAGTTTTAACATTAAGTGAGATAAAAAAAATTACAAAACATACTGATAAATATCAAACTGATCGTGAAGTTGAAGACTATTTTTGAAGTATTTGTGCTCAGTGTTCATATCAGTTTCAGTAGCTGCACAAGTACCATGTTTTTGCCACTCATGTTTCCTGTAAATAACATCGTAATTGTAATATTCTAAAAAAGATGTGAAACATTTTAAAAATAAATAGTCATTATAAACTATGGAAAAAAGAAGTCATTTTAAACAACGGGAAAAAGAGACAAATAAACTATAAATATAAAATAAAAACTATCCAAAACTTGTAAGGGACCACAGCGAAAAATTCACTTTCTTTATTGTTTGCAAGCAAAGGGAGCAATTATTGAAAGCAAACTATATTTTTTGAAGATAAATTTTATTTTTCTTGTTGAAAATAGGGTGTTTATTATTTTCTCTGCAATTATGAGTCTTTTCATTTTGAAAATAAATTGCATAAGAAATAAACAAAATTTAACAATATAACTTTCCGTAACTTGTGAAAGAATAGTATAATACTTAAAAAGAAGTTTAGTTTTTACTCATTTTTGAAATCATAAAATAATACTTTAAAAAAAAAAAAAAAAAAACATCAAAGTCCTTTTTTCTTTTGCCAAATTTATTTTCCCTTAAAGCATACCAATCAGCTGTGCTGTTTCCCTTTTAAGATAGGATTTGTTCATCTGTGTTACAAGCCTTTGTAATAAAAAGGCAAGCGATAATTGAAAAATTTATGCTTTGTTTTGAAATTTCCTTCAGGAGAAACACTTAAATAATTTTCAATGCTAGCTTCGTATAAGTATGTACACAGAGTTGTCACTTATCTGTAAAAAAAATTCCCCGTGTTTTCCCTGCACATATTATGCACAATATATTATGAGGAAACACAGATTCACTGTGCTCTTATGTGCTATACTAGGATACGGATGCTAGTTTCAGTTGCTGGAAACACTTAGAGAAGTAAAGAACAGCTCAACATAAAAGAAATAATGCTTTAATAAATTAAATATAGCTGAAATATCATCCTTATATATCTCATAGATTATGCTTTAAGAGGTTTGCAGTTTTTAAAAAACAAAAATTGCCTATTTTTCCTAGTTAGTAAGGAAAAATTCAAAATTCCCTGCATTTTCCCTGTTATTTTAAGTGATTTTTAAATTCCCTGTATTTTCCAGGTTTTCCCTATTCTCCCTGTGGAATGGCAACCCTGGTACAGTAAATAAATAAAGAAAATTGTTTTCTGGGCACAAGTAATATCAAGTAAACTTCTTTTTCCCCCTGATCATTTGCTCTTATCTTTATTAGGAAAAGTGTGAATTGAAAAGAACTTATGAGTGTTATAAGTGATCTGCCTATTCTTGATACTAAGTAAAATTGAGAACAATTTCAATCTTCATTTAAAATCTAATTAATCTAAAAAATAAAAACACAGATTAAAAAACTATGTTTTTTTTATTTAAAAAAAAAGTGAACTAAATACTTTTGCATTCTGCTTTTATGTGATTATTGACATTGCATTTTTTCCACTTATATCTAAAAAAAAATTTTGTAACTGGTAATATTTGTATATAGAGACCAAGTTACAAGATAAAAATACTTCTATGGAAACAAAATTTTAAATAAATTAATAATTTTTAACTGCCATTATATTTTTATTTATAATTTTTCTGCTTTTCTTTAAATTTGCAATATGTAAATAACAATACAATGAGTAAAAAATACAACATTAAAAATTATGTTAAATTAGAATAACTAAAAAAAATATAACAGCACATAATTGCAGAATAATAAAAAGCTATTTACCAGAACGAAATTTCTGAAGAATGAGCATATATGTTTGGCCATTTTGCTTCTAACTGCACAATAAGATCCTGAAATTCACATAAAAATAAATACATAGTGAGCACAGTGCAAGTCGTGATTCAAGAACCACAAAAAAAATTTTTTCCTTTAAAACTTTATTTCCCTAATGCTTAAACTCCATTTTGAGAAAAGGTTCCAAGAATGGCCTCTAAGCTCATAAGAATTATTCTTTTTGACAGGCATTATTACTAAGTATTTTTTTGATGGCAGAATCAAATGCTTAGATGGTAGTTTTTTTATTTAAAAGTTTTTATTTATAATATAACTAAGCAAAAGATCTAACACATTTACTTGTAAACCACATTAACTTTACAGTCTGTAAAGCAAACCATAATTGATAAATTTTGTAATGCAAATAATGAGTAATTGTATGGAAATTCTCATATTTTAAACTATTTGCATTTAAAAATTATTTTAAAGCATAGTATTGATCTGTTCCACAAATATATTGCTGTGCTTAGTAGACAAATTTAATGAAATGATCTATATAATGCAAAGCTTCAAGGCTTACTTTGTAAAGACCTACTGTATATACAATTGTGAGAATAATTTTTCTCCCCTTAGAATTCAACATTGCAACAACAAAAAAGCGCATTTAGATTAAAGTCTATTTTCTTAGATGAATTTGAATATCATTAAACACGTTTATTTTAAGAAATAATAAAATATAAAACATTTTATGTTAAACCAATAAACAAATCAATTATAAATGAAAAGAACCTTACTAATTGAATGCACAAAATAATAAACTGATTATTTCAGCTTTACCTTTAAAAGTTGAGGTTTAAAAGGCCAAGAACCATTGCAAAAGCTTGGATATCCTTTATGGTTTGTGGGCCTAAAATTTTTAATTTGAATTCATAATATATAAAAATATGTATAATAACCATAAATGTATATGAAACAAGACTGCAAATGTGACCTAAGATTGTGACATGCATGTATGAAAACACTATTTTGCAGAAAGTGAAATTTCAAATCATAAACTGTTGAAATCATCTATATCCATTCTTTAATGATAAATGTATTAAAAGTATAATTTTTTGTATAGTTTCTTTATTATGAAGAAAAATAGTGAGATGACACTTCTAGAACAAATAATCCATCATATGTATACAGAATGTAACCATTTTGTTAAATAATATAAGTTAATAAAAGTTTCATCTTTCACACTTTTTTTTATCTACTAATTTTCTGTATATTACTATAACTAGTAAAAATAATAAAATATTTAGATTTAACAGACTTTTTCTTTACAACATTCGTGAAATAAATTTTTTTAAAAATAATTTGCATTTTGATTTTGTGAAATACTGTAGCCTAGTATGATGTTAATAAGAGCATTTGGATGTATTATACATTTTTTTGCATTGCTCAAAAAATAAATACAATCACTTAAAAATATGCCTATTTTTCAGAATTAAAAAACATTCAAACAGGAATTTACTTTCATAACAAAAAAATTCATGATTAGTATTTTCTTTTAATTGATTGCACAATGATTGTTGTTCTAGAAAAAGACTTTACAATGTTTTTAAAAGGTAATATAAGGTCAAATAATCATTCATTTTCATTCTAAGACAATCGTTTTTTTTTTGTTTTTTTTTTTTAGATTGCAAAAGAAGAAAGTAACCAACAAAAAAAAAAGTAATTGTTTATTGTAACTTTAATGAACAAAGAAGTGAAAACATATTTGTATGTTATCATTATTGTTATTTTACCTTGATGAGTGGAAGAACCATTATTTATTCCCAGAGTTTATTATTCCCATTATTATTCCATAGAGTAATGTGGTGGATGCATGTAAGTGCATACATGGACAACTACAGTCTGAGATTGAAGGGAACCAAATTTATTAATTAAAAATGGTGATGAAACTCTATGCATCATGAAAGTTGAATTTTAAGTTTTGCACATTATATCAAAATATAAAAATTTATTATCAAAAAAAAAGTTCCTTATTTAGAGAAAATTCCTTAATTAGAATTAAGTAAAAATGCATCTTATAAATGATTGACAAATACTAAGTAATGAGCAAAAACTAAGTAATAGCATACCACAAGCCATGTATGCTCCAAGTTGACACTACTTCAGAAATTGAGCACTGAATCAAAAGAAAAGCAAAATTAATTTAGAAATAATTTCAAGTTTACAAATGCTAAAACATTTATGTTATGGGAAGCCTTAATATTGTAAATAAACAATACCAGTAATTAGGCATTTTTGACAAATAGCTGGGTCACTCTATTGAATCAGCTGCTACTCACTATATGGCTGCCATTTTTATAATTGCTAATAAAAAAACTAAAAAAACAAACTTGAATAGCAACTATACTGGGATCATAATTTCCCCCCACAAAATACTGTAAAGTCTTAATAACTATGGGAAGTAAAATGAAAGATTAAAACCTATATTCAAAGTGTGAATTCATTCCCCCCCCCCCAAAAAAAAACATTAAAATTTACATAATGCCAGACCTTTACTAACTCCTATTTCTAAAAAATTTTAATATTTAAATTTTTTTTTCAATCAGAAAATGTTTTAAGTGACATATCAACCTACAAAAAAAGCTGTCTTGTCATAAAGTTTAAATTAGACAACAAAATTAATCTTATACAAATCTATTTGATTCTTACAATCATGCTTTAAAGTCAGAAAATGTTTTTAGTGACATAAATTTACAAAAAAAAAAAAAAAAAAAAAAANAAAAAAAAAAAAAAAAAAAAAAAAAAAAAAAAAAAAAAAAAAAAGCTAAAGCTGTCTTGTCATAAAGTTTAAATTAGAAAACAAAATTAATACTACACAAATCTATTTGATTCGTAAATGTTTCACACGTCTATTTGAATCCATCTTTGTACATTTAAATCTTGATTGACTAAATCCGCACTAGATCCAATACTGTGCTGAAATGGCTAAAGAAATTTTATTATTTTTATCCCACTTATTGCTATCATATTTGCACTTAATTTTTTTGTGATTAATTAAATGTACCTCCTGAGGAGAAAATTTAAGAAAAATTCATTTTCTGGGTGGAAGGGAGTTTCTAATTAAAAATCAGTAGTTATTACTATGTGGTTTATTTACATATACTTAAAAAAACACAGTAGATTAAATACATTTAGATCTAAGTGTTTCCAATATAAATAGAGAAATGCCCATGATTTTGGTGCCACAGAAGACAAATACATGCATAGAGATACATTTAAAATTTATAACAATAACATACTTCTGAAAAGAAAAGATTCTAATTATAATTTAGGTTATTAACTAATAGCTAAAAAGCACTGATAGTTTTTATCATGAAATAATAAACTATGCCTTAAGCCAGTCTCAGAGCAAGCATGATTTTAAACTAAAAAGTAATAAAAATTAAAATTACAAAAAATTTCTCAAATTTTTGATTATAATACATCAGAAATATTTGCAAAGAATATCGATTTGAAATGTTTGCAAAGAAATAATATAATCATATGCTTATAAGGTATAATTTATCAATACCAATTATGAAGAAAAAATTTGAAAGCCAGTGAATTTTAAAACTGATAGTAAACCAATAACAAAAATTTGAATTCAAATATGTCAGAAAGCTAGATTATTTCAAATAGATATTAAACTTAGTCAACAGAAACCATACCTGTTCTTAAACTAATCTGAAAAATACTAAACAAAAAGATTTTAATCATAATTTTCATAACATTCAAAATTTTTTATAAATTTTTAATAAATCATTGATAAAAAACTTTAACAGAGTACTCTGTTGCTGAAATTTTATTACTTTGTTAACTTTAACAAAATAATAAAATTTCAGCAATTTCTTATTTATTCCTTTTACAATTGAAGATTAATTTCTAGGATTTATAATTGCAACATGTAAGGCCACCTCTTTTACAAAAAAAAAGAAGATTCCTAAGAAGAAACTTTAAATATTTGAATCAAGGATTCTGATGAAGCATTAATATGCTACAGAACAAATTTCTTTTAATTAACATTTTTAATAGATTTCTGACTAAGCTCATAATTTATAATTTCAGTGATCATCAATGATAAAACCACTGGATTATAAAATTAGGAATGGCAAGTTGGATAGTTTTTACCATCATGTCAAAAACCCAGATTTTTTAATTTTATTTCAATCAATTAAAATGTAAGTAAAAAATGTAGTGTAAATTTTAAAGCATTAAATTTAAAAAAAATCTCATAAAGGACATTTAACAAAAAATGATTCTAGATTATTGATAAAATATAATATATTTTTTTGTTATGGTTATACCAGAATTTCCTATGTCTTAATTGAAATAAATATGATGCTTGTAATATTTGTCTACATTTATAGGTCCTATTTAATCATACATATTTCATTATTAATTTTAAATAACAAAGCATTTCATGCATTACTCTAAAAATTTTGATTTTAGTATTTCATTTATGTTAGGAGAGAAAAGGGTTACCATTTATCTTGGCCAAGAATTTTTTGATAAATCTTTAATAATTTATATTTTATAGCATATTAAAATAATTATATAAATATGTACATTAAACGAAAAATTAATAGTTGATTAGTAAGAAAATTTTGTTAAAATTTATTATTTACTGCACCATAACATAAGAAAAAATTAAGGTTTTAAAAATAAGATGCTTTTTACCAATAAAACTCTGTTATGTCAAAAACCAGTTTTTGACATCAGAAACCTTTTTCTTGTCGGAATTTACTTTCTTAAGTTCTGAAAGATATGTTTTATATAGCAGATAACAGATTCCAGTTTATGAAAAAAAGGAAAAACACTTCAACAGTAGATTCCACTTCTTGGTGAAATGAAAGATCATAATTAAAAAAAAGAATGAAACAAAGTGGAGAAAGCAAACAAGTCCAAATGAAATCTGCTTATCAATAAAGTTATTAAATGCCCATCATCATACAATATCAATTATAATAATTTATTGATTAACCCCTTAATAGTGACATATTTCAGAAAAATGGAAAATTTTTTTGACTGTTTAATTTTGTTCTTTATATTATTATCAAGTTAGAAAATGGTTTTTTATTGCAAAAATAAAATTTTTAATTCAATAACTACTGTATTATAATTTTTACATACACATAAAAAAAATAATGGATTACACACACATCTTATTCAATTAGAGAAAATTAAACAAAATTTTAAAGCTAAATATATAGTATAATATAATATAAAAACAGATCAATATGATTTTCAATACATAAATTTTACAAATCTTATACAGTATGGTATATCCCCAAACCCCCACCCACATTTCCCTCCCTCGACTGAAGTCGTAATCTGTGAAAAACTAGGACCACTAATGCCACCAGGAAAATAGTGAATTAAGTATCTGAAAGTAGAAACGAACGCAGCTCAAGCTTCACAACATAAACGTTAATTTTCCTTCTGCCCAAGTCAGTTCAGACACCACAAATACTGCACTAAGTAGTTGCCCGAACTGGATGCAGGCGACACTGGCAAAGGGTTAACTCTTATAGTTAAGGTAAAATGAAGCTGTCACATCAGAAAGGATATATTAAATTAACTGAAGAATTGATTGATTAGGTACCTTACGCATTTCATACGATAAACCATATATGTTTTGTTAGTTATTTGATCAAATAAAAAAAGTGGGTTAGAGTGTGTGTGAACAGTTTTAAACCAGTTTGTGGTCATATTATATTATGATTCAATGATGAATAAAGGCTGAGTTAACACTTTTATATTAATTTTAAGCATAATTTGTTAACTAGCAACAGGCCTAAGAGGCAAGATTTGAGCATCAAGTATTTAAATTTATCTTTGACACCCAATGTAATATTGAAAATTACAAAACCTTTTAGAAACTCTCAAATGATTTTAAACGTTTAATTGAAAATTCTGCTAATCAAATAACAAGAAGCAAATATTTTTAGACTTTTCAGCAAATTAAAAAATGAAGCTCATATTTAGTCAGAATATAAAGTGTAAATAGAATATAAGTGTCAGAATATAAAGTGTACCAACTAAAGTGAAATATAAATGTAGCATTTAATTCAGCTTTAAAAGTTTAACTCTTAAACCTTTTGTTCCCCATAAGTGTAGATGTATATTATTTTATAAAATCAATCCTTTTATAAAATCAAATGTCCTCAGAACTAATGTGATTTTAATAAGTATACTTAAGAAAAATTTCAAAACTTTTGACTTGAAAAGTTTCAACTATTTATAAAACTTTAGCATAACTTATATAACTTTTTATTTAAGCATAAAATTTTTTGTTTCGTTAATTTTTAAAACTGTTTAATTAGCATTGAATTTTTTAAAAGCGTAACCAAAATTACAAATTAAGTAAATAAATAATAAAATGAAAATTTACATGATGACAAGACATTTTATTTTAAAAAACAGATTGCATATGATATGTTACAGATTGAACCTGCAACATATGAAACATTAAAGTGTAGTTAAAACTATTAACCTCCCAAAATTCCACACTCAGTTTAGAATTTTAAATCCAGTAGTTTTCCACTCAGTGAACCAGTCTTAATCTATTTTTTATTCAATTGATAAGCACAGATAGGAAGAGAAATTTTCATTCCTGCATATTTGCCTAAGACAGTTAAAGGATAATATTATAAGAGTGAATTATAAAGTAGAATAACAAATTTAAAAAACAAGCAAACAATATCTGCCATATGAAAGAATGAGAGACATTAAAAGCAAGAGGGGGTATATCAAAACTGAAAGTCACATGTCAGACATAGATAATTATTTCTTGGTATTATTACAAAAATACTTATTTAGCTTTTACATGTCCAGTATACCCTAGGTATTATACATGTCAGTAGCACCTAAGCTGCTACATATTTGTGTTATTAAAGCAAGACAATTATTAAAAGTTAAAAATTAGCAAAACTAGAATTATAGAAGAAAAATTTAAGATCAATAAAGGTTCTTTTACTTTTCCCCCAGGTACATTGAGGCATGCAGCTGGTGGCCATTGTTGTGCAAACACATAATAGTCAAATCCTTCAACTGCTACAAACAGCCTAGAATTCAGAAAAGATATTATAAATTTCAATCAAAATTTAAAAAAAACTTACAATAGTTTCTTTTTTTTCTTCAGAGAATAAGCACATTCGAATTTGAAAGACAAAATTTACCAGTTACAGATATGTATGCACCAACATAACTAACTAATAGCTACATTACTCTTTAAAGTTTAGTTCTATTTAAACTACTTGACCTGAAAATTTGCATAAAGAAGAAAGTTTACACCCTTAAAGTAGAAAGTAATCCAAATGGTCGCAATTTATGTCTATAAGTAGGGTGATCAGATTTTTTCGGGCAATTCCGGGGACACTCATCTCTAATCCCCCCCCCCAATTTTANTAAGACTGTTAGCATGATTATGAAATTCATTAAATATTAATGATCTTTATAGCAGTAAACAATTTTTGATTCATTATGTAGGGATATGTATCTACACAATTTCTTAATTTTCTTTTTGCAAATTTAGTCAGAAAAGAAATATTATTTATCATTAAAATGAATGATAACATAACAAGTGAGAGTTGTTTATATTTTGCTACACTTGCAGCTTGTAACTATCAGAAGTCATTACTTGGTTAAAACTTTCATTTGCTTCAAAAATATACAAATAAGAAATAACAATTAACCTGTTTCAAGTGTTCAAAAAAAGACGGCCATTTTCAAGATTTGTCAGATGTTCCTTGTCTGACAAGTTTTTAAAATGGTTAAAAGAAATTTATATTTCATAAAACTCAATACAATTTATAATATTAATATTATAAATTGTATACATCTAAATAATGATATTAAATAAATAATACTGATATAGCATTTTTATATTACAGAAAAGCACATTGAAAAATTGCTCTTAAATATTGCTGAAATAGAAATTTGAATGAATAGTGTTTATTTGCATGTAAAGTGGAGTTCTAAAATAATATGAAAACATATTTAAAGCATTCAGTTCTTTTTTTTTATTATTAATATGTTAGCATATTTAAAGAACAAAAGTGTATATTTTTAATTGTTATTGAAAACGTTAATTGATAGTTAATTTGCAAAGTTAAATACTATGAAACACTATGGAATGGTTTTTCAATTATGGGCTTTAAAAAACATTTGACATATTATTTTTTCAAAAAAAAAAATCCAAAAAACCTAGTTTAAACTAAAATATTTTTTTGGTTTTTGAAAGAAAAAAACTGTTTTTTTTCCAACTGTGGTTAAGAGTATCATAACATAAAATATAACACCAAGATACAATGTAAACGCTTTAATTTTTTTGCACAAGCTTTAATATGTAATTTGCATTTAATTTAAAAACTATAACAAATGACAATATTCACTGTTGCCTAATGATTATCTAAATTATTGTATCTACCCATTAGACTTTTGACTGACCTCTTCTATCGGTATAAAAGTGGTGTTTAGATAAAATAAAGTGTCTACATGCTACTCCTGATTTGATGTCTGATTTCATACTATGGTGTTACAAGAAGAATAAAAACTTTTTTTGTATTCAATTCATCAAAAAAAAACTTTTACAAATGGGTTGTCATGTGAAGACATTGCAGTGGTCTGTTTCTAAAATTAAGATGTAAGATTGATAGAAGGAGAAATTAAAGAAACTTTTAAGGTTATAAACATCAAGAAGCTTTCATGTGTTTGCTTCATACACATTTGGAATTAGTTCATATTTTTGAATAAACTCATCAATTTATATTCTTATCCAATAATTCATTATAAGTTATGCATTCTTAGAAAAAAAAGTAATTATTTAACAAAATATTAGACAACAAAGTATTTAATATTATAAAAGTATACAACAAAAAGGAATTGCTAAGGCAAGATGCAAGAGTGGGAAAATTAGCCCAAAACTGTCAGAAAAACTTTTTTATTTCATAAGAGTAAAAAAGTTACAATTAAAAGTTAGTTCCCAAAGCTGTTATTATTCCCTGTGAATTTGAGTAATCATTAAAAGAGAAGGTTTAAAGTAATAATTTTTTAATAACTTTGATTTAAAAATGTGCAATCATAATTTTTCAAGTATTTCGATGCAGTATTTTTTTACCAAAAAATTAAAAATTAAAGTTTAGTGCCTAAAAATTTTTCCAACGATCAAAAATCTATATATGAAAGGCAAATCCATCAATGAAAGGCAATAATTATAAAAAAATTCATTTAACTGAATTACTTAAAAATCAGTTTTAAAACCACAAAAGTCGATGTTATAAAAATAATATCAATTTACAAACCAGACATTAATTACAACACAGCTTAAAAGAAGCTTGAGCATCATAGGATTATCAACAACAAATTCAGAGCAAAATATGCATAAAAAAATAGTTGGTAGCGAAAAAAGGTACAAAATAAATATGATAGAATATATGAAATGTATATATATTTTATAATATGGAAGAAAACAAAAACGCTTGGATACTAAATGCGCTCCTGGTGTGAGAAATAAACATATGTTTATAAACAAAAATAATAAAGTTAAGAATTATCGCGTCTTTATCTTGGAATCTATGATGAAATCGTCAGATTGACGAGTATCAATTTACATTCGTGAGTCATGACCAGGGACCATGGATTCCGTGGTTTTACTAGAACTTTTTAAATATATTCAACTGAAACTCCTCTATTGGAAATCTTTAGGGTTTTTTCTGCATATTAAATTAAAAACTGAATAAACTGTTTGCACGGGCGTTAGCGATTGCTATTTCCGGACTAATTGCTTTATAAAATTAATAAACTGGAATATCTCTTATCAATTCAATCCGTTTATTCAGTTTCAATAGATGGTATACAAAACGTTTGAAATCGGTTTACTAATCTAGCACAGATTCAACCGTCGAAAAAGTTGCAATTATTCGTACAGTTGGCTTCAATGTTTACTAACACCAACTTGTCAAAGGCTTATAAGCCTTATATGTAATTGAGCAGACGACCCTGCATGCTTGTGTACCAATAAATAAATAAATCCGAATTACAATTTGGATTTTAAGTTATTTTTAAGCTCATGGAGTGAAGAAACTTGTACATTTTAATATGGCTGGAGGGCGAAGAAATGCTAAATCTAGTTCTTTTAATAAGCATCAAGCTCATGCATCGGATGATAGGTAATAATTTCTAATTTCAATCATAAACTAACTACAATATTTTTGTATGGGGGTCCTTGGCCCCGCTATCAGTACCAAATTACGGGTTGGGTTCACACCAGTAATGAAAATTAAGTGGTCCTATAGGGCCACCTAAGTATTCATTTAGCAGTCTAAAAATTTAATATGGTAGACAAATTTGGAAAAAGAAATTGAACTTTGCAATTACATAGTTTATGTTATGGTACACATAAAAAAATATATTAATTGCCATAGATATAACTATAATAACAAATTAGGTTCATTGCCCCATAGTAATTGAAGATTAGCATTTATTAAAACTAAGTGAAAAAAGCTAAAATAACAATTGGTAAATCGATTTAGCATAAAGACTAAAATACTGAGCCCAAATAAATAATTTTAAAAAAAGGAGAAAAACAGAGAAACTAAAAGCAAACAAAATATTTTGACTACAATCGGCAAGTCGCCAAATTATTTTAAAACGAGAAATTTTTTAAAAGAAACATGTAGAGATTTGCCAAAGGGTGGCTATGAGTTATTCCCTTTGAGTTTGTTCTTTTCTGTGGGTTTTTTTAAATATTTTTTTTATTGCGGACAGCTGCCTGAAAGTTGCCAAGACTTGACAGTTATTCTGCCACAGATCACGATACGGAAATCTCCCCATGAAATTGCTGATAGTTCAAGTTTAATCTGTACTTATATAGAGTACATCTGATATGTATAATTTACAATTACGCCATTTGTAAAAAATTTGTCACTATCGTTGAAAATTTTTGGTATTACTACTGAGAAGAAGAAAACAAATGGTCAAAATTCCCATATCCTGACAGACAGGTCAATCTAGCTGAGATTTAAAGGGGAATTTTTTTCTTTGTTTCGCCTAGCCGCAATTTTCTCACGATTAAGTCATTGCATTTTATGACTTTCAGGTATGCTGGTATTGCAAATGAGTTTTTTACACTTTCTTTCAATTTAAAATAAAGAAATCTGCCTCTTCAAAACAAGTTAGTCTTTTTAAAATTCCTGGGAAAAATGATATTTGATTTTACGCTTTTTCCTACTTAATTCGATTTGAATGCGATTTAAAATTACATTCACATGATTTAAAATCACATAAAGGAATTCGTGTTTGCATTATTTAAAATCAAGCACTGCAATTCATATTTACAGGATTTACATATCGTATTTTGTATTTTTAAAATTTTATATCATCACGTTTCACGCAATTTCACTATACAGAAACGTGTATTTAAAATTTTCTTAGTGAATATACAGTGGAAAATCTTTATAATACTCAATCAATTTGCTTATCTTGCTAAATAAGTTTAAAATATTAATTTGGAGCAGATAAATTGTAAAATGCTTTACTTTAAAAAATTTTTTAGATGCAAGTACTTAAAAATACAAAATATGCACTTAAGTATTGTTAGTTACAAAAAAATAAATAAATAAATAAGATAAAAATTTTCTGCAGCTTTAGAACTAGGAATAAATAAATCAATTTTGGTTTGTTTAGCTTTAGCAAATAGTTAAGTAAAGTAGTTTAACCTCTTAGCAAATAGTTAAGTAAATAATGTAAAAAGCTAATAGCTCTTTCTTAGTCGTCAAAATTACAAGACTATAAAGTTGAGCGTTGATAGTTGTAAACTCAGAATTAGGTTGGCTGGTTATAAAATTTCATAAAATGACTAACATTATGTTCAATTGTTTTTTTTTTAATTTTTAAAAATTTTCTATTTGAATAAATAAAAAAAAGTTGCTAAATTTACTTGCACCAACGAAATAAATACAGTGCCCGCCGTTTATTAAAATCACTTTCGTTTTATGCTCTTTTGATTTTATTAAGCGGCTGATTTTATTAAGAGGCGATTCAACATTTGAAAAAAAAANATATGCACTTAAGTATTGTTATTTACAAAAAAATAAATAAATAATTAAGATAAGAATTTCTGCAGCTTTAGAACTAGGAATAAATAAATCAATTTTGGTTTGTTTAGCTTTAGCAAATAGTTAAGTAAAGTAGTTTAACCTCTTAGCAAATAGTTAAGTAAATAATGTAAAAAGCTAATAGCTCTTTCTTAGTCGTCAAAATTACAAGACTATAAAGTTGATAGTCGTAAACTCAGAATTAGGTTGGCTGGTTATAAAATTAAATAAAATGACTAACATTATATTCCATTTTTTTTTTAAATTTTTTAAATTTTTTTTATTTGAATAAATAAAAAAATGCTAAATTTACTTGCACCAGTGAAATAAATTAATCAAATAATAAGTATGCTGTCGAACTTATAATGAGTTAAATATTCTTAAATTTTACCCGTGAAAATTAAATGCATACTGAATCATTGTGTTACAACTTACATGTTTTAGAGTTTTTTTTTTTTATGTTCATTATAATTTCAAAAATGTCTAAATATGAAATTTTCTCTCTAATTATAATTCCTAAAATTTCTTAAATTATAAAATGGAAGTTTCAAAATACAACTATTTGAAACATCTAGAATATTCTTGTATAAGTGTATAAAAAATCTAAGAGCTTAACATTTTATCTGTGTTTTTCTTTGTTAGACACACAGACTTGCCTACCCAGCCGCAGGTCATTCCTCCTAAACACATCCCCCTTCCTGATTTGTCTCCCTCTTCTGATCTATTATTTGAAGTTGATGCTTTAGTTCTGAGTTTGTGTGCAATAGCTGGACAATATGTAAATTTATATAGAAGTGTATTTTGGCTTCCTTATTCACACACCGATTTTGCTTTAGTGAGTATGTCCAATTATTTGTAAGAATGTTATTTTACATTCAAACCACTTTTATAAAATGTAGATGCAATGGTAGGTTAAATATAAAATTGTGTATAATGTATTAATGCATTGCAATATCACTTTTCTTTCATTTAAAAAGAAAAAGAGTCATCTTCCCTGCTAAAGTAAAATTTTATTCCAGGGTTGGTATTTTGATATGATCTAGGTGAGTCATAAAATAATAATTAATTTTGATTTTCATTTTTAAAAGCCCTTAAGAATGTTGGAAGGAGATAACTACTTCCAGGTTGTCATGTGTATAATGAGCTACAAACATGTGAAGTTCAAATCACGCACTTAAGTAATTACTTTTTGACATGCTCAATTTGTGCCAATTGAGCATGTCAAAATGAATCATGAACTTCTTATATAGCAATTGCTAAGAATTTTCACTGTTTTTTATAAAAATTCTTTTTTATTAAAATTTTTTATGGAAACCAAATTCAAATTCCGCATTTGATTATGAATTTTTATTGTGACAAACTCCCGTTTTTTTTTTTTTTTTTGTTTTGATGCTTTTTTTTTATTTCCCGGCAGTTATTGCTACTGATTTCTACATGGTTTTTAACATTCTGTTTTCTTTTTTTTTATTTATTTATATTGCGACACTGGAAATTCAAATCCTGCAATTGAATAATAAATTTTTGATGTACTCAATTTACGCCGATGGTATCGTAAGTCCATTTGGCGTTTTGCTTGTTTTTTCGGCAGTTATTGCTATTGATTTTCAAACGGCTTTTAAAGATTCTGACATGTTTCTTTCTAGGATGGGAAATTTGATTCGCTGTCTAAAGTTTTACTTTTTGGCGAATGAGTCAATAATTTTTTGATCAATTTTATGCCGGTTCTTGTTATTTATTTCCTCATAGTTTTTAAAATCTGATATTTTTAATGCAATGTTATTTATTACGGCAAGCAAATTTCGAAACACACATGAGTAACCCCTTTTTAATGAGTTTGATTCTCATGGTTCCATTGTAAATTCAAGTGATTTTGTCATCAATCTTTTTTTCAGCAGTTACTGCTGCAGATTTCGTAATTTTTAATTTATTTATTTACGTGATGACAACTTTCAAAATTCGAGAATGTTGTCCATAATATTAGAGCTACTTTTTTTAGGATTATTACATTTACAATTAAAAAAATATCTATTTTAATCTGTATGTGGATTTTTTTTTATTAGCACAAAGTGCGTCCGCTATTATAAATTAGTAACATATATAAAATTTTATTAAGAATATCTCACAGATAAACGAGTGCTAGGAAGGTTAGTCGCAGAAAGCCAGCAAAAGTTCTACCACAGAGCACTAATGCGTATTTGTTATCTATATTGTTTAATAACTGCTGAAATTTATTTTTTGACTTGGCAGCAAAGAACTGAAATATTAAATGTGAGAGCAGTCATAATCATGTATCCTTGGGCATACATATCCTTTTAATTTTCGAATGAGATTTTTTTTTCTCACATGGACAATGAAAATAATTATAAATTTAACCAATATCATTAAAAGAAGCTATTTCTTTGTAAAAGTTACATTTACTACGAAATTTTTTTATTTATTTAATTGCTAATTCTCATTCTACCTTGTCATTTTCATGTAAGGCTTTGTTTGCATACATAATAATTCTTGTTCCTTTACTGTTAGAGTTTCTTTTAATATATAAAGCGGCAAAGTGTATTTTTGTTGATCGTTTTCTTTCCTATTTCAGATATTTCACTAAGTTAAATCATTTTCTTTTACAGAATTTGGTTTTGAATGATCAATAAATGGAGATTTTTAATAAGAAATTTACTTATGTTTGAACTTCATGTTTTAACCATTTCCATGGTAATATGATGCAACAATTTATAGAAGCATTTATGATGTAATAATATTAATTCCTTTATAAAGCTAATATAGTCAATGCTCAATATAATAACCTCTAAGATTTAAAAAAAGAATAAATATAACATAAAGTCTCGATAATGTGAATATTTAAAGCTGTAGCAAATAATTACTTATAAATATTGGATTTATTTTGGCAAATTCCACCTCCAATCTAATCAATCTTGCTTTGAAATTTTTTAAGTCTGTTCTAAGCAAATGGCATCATGCTGATTATAAGCAGCCATTTTTGCAAAATTACATATGCACAGAGAACTGTTTACAAGTTTCACCTGTAATGAATGGTAGCTTCAAAAGAAATAGTAGTTTGAATCATTTCCTGGAGACTTTTAAAATACTCAAAAAGAAAAGATGAAAGAAAATTATGATTAATTAATCTGTAGAAACCTTTAAAAAAGCTATTGAGGCTTTCTGAATTACAAACGTTTTGAATGTTTGACTCTGATTTCCCGGCTAGGATTCAGTATACATTTCTAATTCTCAATAATGAAAGTAACCGATCTTTTTTACCATAGATATTGCCAAGGACCATATAGGATAAGAGTTGGTGATCTTGTCACTCTATCTTGATTCATAGAAAATTCAAGATGTTTCACCTGTTCTGTAATGAATGGTAACATCAAAAGAAATAGTAGTTTGAGTCATTTAAAAGAGTCTTTTAAAACACATTGTCAATGGAAAAATGTTTAGAAAGCTCTGAAATGCTGTTTTTGGAGTGATGTCAGGAGTCTGTCCAGGCCGAATTTACTTACGTTTAGCGGTACCTTCACAAATTCAACTTTAGGAAGAACGGTAGTTTTAAAAAATACTTTTTCTTAAAATTTTATTTTGAATCCCTCAAGAAACGATAAATCCATATTTTTGTGTTAATCTTTTAATATAATTTTTAATTTTTCACAAATTATTTCTAAATTTTCACAAAATAGGCACCTCTCAGAAAAACCTAGACAGGATGTTCTAGTTCTTGAAATTAAAAACATAATAATAATAAATAAATAAAAAAAAATTTTTTTTTTTAATTTTTTATTTTTATTTCTAGTAGCAAAGGAAAATGTCAAACTCTTATAAGATTATAACAGAACACAATAAGAGAAAAAAGTCAATGTCCCACCAGCAGATGTCGAGCGTTCCAGTATCACTTCAACTCTGAGCCCCCATGCAGAGCCCATGCATCCCAACAAATGATTCCTGCCCATGATTTCATCTCTTTCACAACGTCAGCAATTAGGACTCGTGAAAATGCTAATTCGGTGAAGGTGGTTCACCAGGCAGTATATAAATAAAATAAAAGCAAAATTTCACTTACCATATTGGAATGAACACTGTTCAGACATTCTATTGGGCATTAAAGTAATATTGCATCTACAGAAAAGCAAATGGGACTTTATGTCCCATTTGCTATTCATTGCATTCCCGGTCATTGTGATGAAATGGTCATAAAAATGGTGGGTGGGTCGTACCTAAGAGCATTGACTGTATGAATTTTCATTGAATGCATGGTGATTTACAGTTATGATTTTATTTCTCTCTTTTCAGAATTATTATCTCATTGATCCTTACCTCTTAGCTTTTTGTTTAATCATGGTAGCTAGAAGATTTCCAATTTATCTTCTGAAACAAGTAAGTCTAACATACAGCAGTTTCTAACTTACAAAATTATTCTAATAATGCTACTATCTGCAAATATTTTGATCAGTGGATTTCAGGATTAAATTATAAACATACATCTCCCACTGTAACCTTGGAAAAAAAAGTTCCTGCAAATTTTACATATTTGCTATAAGGAGAAAAAAGGGAGCCTACTACTGTTGTTGACATTTTGCGAAAATAAATTAAATAATGAAAAAAAGACATACAAAATTTTTGAAAAATAAGCTTTAATAATGTAGTATGTATGCATATCAAAATATTTTTTGCCTGAATTATAATTAAATACATTTAAAAAGTAATCATTATCCTGGAATAAAATTTAAGAAAAATTAATCAATGGTTTAAAGTCGTGGTCAGCAATAATTCCAGTAATTTATTTTGATGATGATCGATCATATAGCATCAGTAACAGATTGTAAATCTGTATATATTTAGTGTTAAGCACTGTGTGTTTGGTAACAAAAATTTTTTTTACAGGTAAATTTGTTACAATATCATATTTTAGAATTTGTTGTACCTTCAACAAGATTAAACATACTTTAGTTGATTAATAATATGCTTAGTAACTGAGCATAATATCTTAAATGGAAGTGTAAACTGGACAAAATTTTTAGTATAGTTAAAATTAATTATTTTAAACTAGATTAGAAAAAAGTTCATGAAAATATCAATGTAATGAAGAAAATAATTAATTCTTATTTAAATACTTTTAAATTATCTAAAACAATTTGTTTTGGTGTTTTTGTAAATGAACAAATCTCACTTATATTTTCATTTATAATAATGAATCCTTTTTAAAATTATGAATTTAAAAAAACTTGTGACAAACATATTTTACTTTTTTATTTTTAAGCATAATGGTTTTAAACAATGAAACATTAAATTTAGTGCAATGATTAACTAAAAAAAATTTGTACATCAGTTTATAATGCAGTATGAATTTAAATTAACTACCTCCTGAATTTACTGTAAAGAAAAAAGTTTTTTAACTAACTTTTTGTTATTTGTTTTTCATCAAACTCACCTACTGAACACTTTGATTCCAAAATTCAATTAAATGAACTATAAAAATCATAATTTGTTTTAATGTGTATTATGATAATTAATAATAAATTGTTTTTCTTTTAAATTAGACATTTGATGTATTGCAATTATATCAAGACAATCCAAGTTAAAATATTTATTTTACATTTTATATTACATTTACCTGCTTCATAAATTCGAAAAAACATAAACTATTAGATACTTATTTTTGGGGGAAAGGAGCATTCGCCAAATTATTATTGATGCCATTGATGCTTATTTAATGGTTGTATTAGGTACTACTGGCTTAGTATCAATGAGTTCTGTGATAAACGACACTCATATAGGATAATAATTCCTATATTTATGTGTAAAAACATATAAGTTCAAAAAAACTTATAAAAAAATTTGTCCTAATTAATATATATGATATTAAATGTTACCTTTTTTTAGTTTATGAATAATTTTCACCTTAAATTTTTTTTTATCCAGGCTTTAAGCACTATAAACTGCAGATTAATTATCAAATTAGTAATTTTTTTGTTTTTAAATATGTCAAAATCTTGTAAACATAGCTAGACAAGTGAGTTATTTATGACCCGAACTGTTTATCGTGCTTAAATTTAATTATATTATTTGTCTTTCCTATATTTTTTATAATCAGAGATAATTGTGCTCCGGAAAAAATCTGGATTTTTTCGTAAACTGCCATCCGGGAATCCAAGGTCCAGAGGTTTTAAGAAGTCATCGATCACATTTATGTATTAAAATTCGTGTATATTTTATTTAAAAGTATTAGAACAAAAATTTATACTTGGCATCTTTTTCATTTGTAAATATTTTTTCTGGTAGAATAATAAATGTGATTAGAGATAAAAGTAAATTTATAAATAATTATTAATTTAAATTATGCATATAATTTATTTAGAATTTCATGTTGTTAAAATATCAATGATTTTAAAGTTATAAAATCATAAATTTTTGAAATGCGTCATTAATGATTTTACTCAAGAAGTTTTCAGGATTTTTGAGTTGGCTCACAATCACCCCTGTTATAATGATAAGCGAAACTATCTCAAGTAGATATTAGATAAATTTCAATTGAATTAATATGTATTTTACCTTTTGGGGACGGCTGGTACAACAGTTATTTAAACAAGCGAAATGTCATGGTTCCTACTTTCCTGTTATAAATTATTTCTAATGATATTTTTTTAAGGAATGGATTCCGATAGATTTTTTCTTTAATCTTACTCTTGATTTCCAAATTAAGATCCCTTATTTTTAATTTTTATGGAAATCTCTTTCTCTCCTTTTAATACGTATTTTCTTAAAAACATTTTTACAAAATAACTAATCTGGCTATCCAATTTTATTGAGCAGTGTTCTTCTTATATGGCATTCTAGTTATTAGTGCCTTACTCAAAAAACAATCTTTACTCTTTTTCATTTTTATAACATAAAACTGAAGTTACATGAACTTATAAGATATGCTAAATAATATGTAACCTTTGTTATTTTTTGTTTGAGTTAAAAATTTTTTTTTCATTTTTTATACTTTGTGGTGTTCTGTCAATCTAAGTTTATAATTTTGATTGTGAACAAGCAGTTTTAGCGATAAAAAAAGTGGAAAATCCTTCCGTATCTTTAAATGAGGATTTTTAAAAAAAATGTCTCTTTTTTTTCATTTGATCTTATACCTAACTTTACTTTGATACAATAAAAAAATGAAAAAAAATTGGAAAATATGACAACCAAAGCTGGCGTCTTCAGGGGGTACCAGCCTCGGATGTCATAAAAGCAAAACCTTTTCAATCGAGAAAGCAAGTCAAAAGTCTAAAATTGCTTTCTCTGTACCCCAAAGGTTTTGCCAAAGCTCAGGAAAANGATCTATTTTTGGCGCACCCTTTAAATATTGAGTTTTGCCAAAAAATGTAACCCGGACTTCCATGGTCGCTCAGTATATCTCCTCCCCCTATGTCCACTAATGTCCACGCCTATTCCTCCCTTTCTCCCACCCACAGCTCCTTCAATTTGACTTGTCCGTCAGCGTAGAAAGGGCCTTAAGCTCCGGAAAAAATCTGGATTTTTTCGTAAACCGTCATGCGGGAATCCAAGGTCCAGAGGTTTCAAGAAGTCATCGATCACATTTATGTATAAAAATACTTGTATATTTTATTTAAAGGTATTAGAACAAAAATTTATCCTTTGCACCTTTTCATTTGTAAAAATATTTTCTGGTAGAATAATAAATGTGATTAGAAATAAAAGTAAACTTATAAATAATTATTAATTTAAATTATGCATATAATTTATTTAGAATTTCATGTTGTTAAAATATCAATGATTTTAAAGTTATAAAATCATAAATTTTTTGAAATGCGTCATTAATGATTTTACTCAAGAAATTTTCAAGATTTTTGAGTTGGCTCACAATCACCCCTGTTATAATGATAAGCAAAACTATCAGAAGTAGATATTAGATAAATTTCAATTGAATTAATATGTATTTTTCCTTTTGGGGACGGCTGGTACAACAGTTATTTAAACAAGCGAAATGTCACGGTTCCTACTTTCCTGTTATAAATTATTTCTAATGATATTTTTTAAAGAATGGATTCCGATAGATTTTCTCTTTACTCTTACTCTTGATTTCCAAATTACGATCCCTTATTTTTAATTTTTATGGAAATTTCTTTCTCTGTTTTTAGTATGTATATTCTTAAAAACATTTTTACAAAATAACTGATCTGGCTATCCAATTTTATTGAGTAGTGTCCTTCTTATAGGGCATTCTAGTTATTAGTGCCTTACTCAAAAAACAATCTTTACTCTTTTTAATTTTTATAACATAAAACTGAAGTTACATGAACTTATAAGATATGCTAAATAAGATGTAACCTTTGTTTTTTTTAGTTTGAGTTAATAATTTTTTTTTCATTTCTTATACTTTGTGGTGTTCTGTCAATCCAACTTTATAATTCTGATTGTGAACAAGCAGTTTTAGCAATAAAAAAAAATGGAAAATCCTTTCGTATATTTAAATGAGGATTTTTTAAAAAAAAGTCTCTTTTTTTTTCATTTCATCTTATACCTAACTTAACTTTGAGACAATGAAAACATGAAAAAAAATTGGAAAATATGACAACCAAAGCTGACTTCTTCAGGCGGTACCAGCCTCGGATGTCATAAAAGCAAAACCTTTTCAATCGAGAAAGCAAGTCAAAAGTCTAAAATTGCTTTCTCTGTACCCCAAAGGTTTTGCCAAAGCTCAGGAAAAGAATAGAATGCATGAAATACAATAAAACACAAAAGAATACAATATAAAATACAATTTAAAATACAGCAGTATATACAGTAGAATATAAACACGACAAATAAAATGTGCTCTTGGAAATGTGTTTATTAAATAGAAATGAGAGTATGTATATTCGGCTAATGCTGTTGTCTAATTCTAGATGTGTGTCGTGTGTTTGCCAGCCTCTTACCATTCATCTTGTACTATATGCTTTCAAATTTTGACTGGAATTGTCATTGCACCTGCTTTGTTATTTTGCAGTTACAATATTATCAAACAGCATGGTACTCTGTCCATGCTTTTTTTAGTTTATCCGTAAGTAAACTTTTAAATTTGCTCTTAAAATAGTTATTTAAATAGGATAATTTTTTTTAAGATTTTCATTATTTGATTCTTAAATATTTTAAAAGAATTCAAAGATTATTTCTTTTATGCTAATAATTTAATTATTACTTTGTAAAAAAAAAAAAAAGTTTTGACTGAATTTTTAGGGAATTGTTTTCCCATTGAGCTGATGAGGGTCGCACAAGCAGATAAAATTTGAATTGATATGCTTTATTACTGGCTATAAAATGTGATTAGATTATTTATTTCTTATTCAAAGAAAAATTAATCGTGTTGACAGAGATCTCCCTAAAAATTAAAAAAAATGCGGAGAGCCTTTTCAATTAAAACTTGACATTTTCAGGTCTTTTTAATTTCATAATTTTCTGATCAATCTTGAAAATTATATCAATTATGTCTAAACAGATTAGTGACCTTCAAAACACAATTTAAAATACTCAAATAAATATGACAAATAACATTTAAGATTAACTTAGTCTAAAAATAATTTGCAGTAGTTATGGTAATCTGAAGTTCCTGGTTTCTGCTACTGCAATTTCTTTTCTTAAAGTAAATAAATAGCATTTTTTCTGAACAAAATAAAAAGGAAACATTTTTACAACAAGAGCAAGGAAGGTGCATCTACATCTGTAAAAGGGCACGCTGGGCGGGCCACCTTTCCAAAAATACTTTGGGAGAACACTAGTGTATACTTCTTTTTACCCGAAAAGAAAAAGATTTAAAAAAATCCTGTTTCAACAATGATGGTTAATAAAATTGCATGCTAGTAATGCTGATGAACTTCCATATCACGAAAAGATCTGAATACCCTATTCATTTGCTATGCTGATATTAAAGCAAAAATCTTTCAAAATTTATGAGGGTGTTAATCTTGAACAAAAATAATTATGATTTTGAATTTTTAGTTATTAATTTGTAAGAATTATAAACAAAATAATTTTGACTATTTTAGTTAGGAATTTTAATTACATTGTTTTTAAATAATATTTAATATTATTTATGCATTTTATCTGAGTACTGTTCCTATGTTCTTCTTTTTTATAGATTTGCTTTGTTTTTTATTGGATTGGGAACAAAGGTGATTAAGTTTTTGGAATTAATATCTATTCCTCAAGAGCGTCAGACAGGTGCTCGGAGCAAGCATGCTTCGAGCGTGAAACATCAGAGTATCACACACGTGTGTTCAATGTCAGCAGATACCATAAGAGAGGAAGTGGATACTCTCAAAAATGACTTCAACTTTCGTATGAAACAAGTTTTGTTTAATACTTTCCTCGTTGTCTATCATGCCAGTTTTTTGCCTTGTTATTTTGCTCAGGTATATATGTGTTTTTTTAAAACTGTCACTCATTTGTTTTATGCACGACATTTCAAAACCATTTAAATGAAGCTTGTAAACTCAATCTAACTTCTACTTTTTTTAAAAATTTGTTTGTAACATAGCGTTAAAAGTCTTAGCGTATTATTGACCATTTCAGGCCAATAAACATGAAATAAACAAGAAAAAAGCTTAGTTGATTGATATTTTCATTTATTATTTATATATTGCTATTTCATTTGACTAAAATGATTAATTTTGAACAATTTATACATACATTCAAACTGCTAAAATATTCTTTATTTTGACCATTTATAAGGATGAATAATAAACCTTTTGGTGCTAATCCTTCTGGTGCATTGTACATTGCCTAACACCCTGAATCTCAACCTGTTCTTTACTGTTACAAATAAATAATAATTTTTTAAATTACTAACCTTAGCATGTTTAATTATATATTACCGTATATTCCGGCGTATAACGCGCACTTTTAATACAAAAAATAACATTGGAATTTACGGGTGAGCGGTATACGCCGAATATAAAAAATTATAGATTGAAAAAATTTAAATATAGAAAAATACTTTTATTTTAAAGAAATAACATACCTTTACCTATATACTTTATTGATTTTCGTTATTACATAAATAGTTCATTATATTCGTCTTCCGTTATTTCTTCAGGCACGTCATCACAATCTGTTTCGTCTTCATCATCTGTGTTACCCTCATCCATAAATAAACAG